GAGAAAGACAGAGAGAAGGTGAGAGAGAAGGTCAAAGATACTTCAAGCTTTAGAATTCTGCACGCCACAGCACTAGTCGGATCGATGGGCCAGGCTGTTGTAGGTAATGTCTGTCATGGTGATATCATCAGTTTATTGTTTTAATAACTGCTTTAACTTGCTGCAATGAAGCCCCCCCCCCCCCCAAATAAAAATGCTGACACTTTCTTGACATGTTATATTTGTAGGACTTTTTAAGTAACGCGTAAGTATAAAATGAACGACCACTGCGTTGGGCTGAATTTGTTTGCACAGCTTTACTCTGTGTGTCAGCGAAGGGGTGGGGACGGGGGGGTCGCAGCCAAAAAGCATTCTCCTACAATAACCAGATACACCAGTATGACTTTCACTGACCGGCGTCTGACCAGTCAGAGCGTGTCCTGCCGGTTTTGCAGCCCATCATTTTGATTTCAGTCTTAGTATATAATGCATCTAAGCCCCAGAGGGAAAGAAAACAGTGATGTCATGTTGTTTTGTTGTGAGAAGAAAAGACTTCAGCAACCTACACGTCCTACTGTGTCAACTGATGGGAGGTCACAGCATATCAAATACATTCACCTCAACCCATTAACACTGCCCGACGGCAGTGTACGGCCTGCAGCTCTGTGCCATTTCAGCATGTTTTATTTCAGCTTCCAAATTAACAGTAGTTCAGAAAGAGATCAGTCACAGGATGAAGGTCCTAGGTTTTGGTTTTGTAGGGACAGGCAGAATGTGTTTGAGGTGGTCTTCAGTTCTCTGTGTCACAGAAGAAGAAAAAAGATTCTGAAAGACAAAAAAAAAAAACAACTGTAATGACCTTTGTTCTTTGTTTGGACTGATCTTGTTCCTGCATCTGCCTCAGTGTAAAGAACCTGAATGGATTATGGTTTTCTTTTTTAAATCATACCTTTAACTCTCCTTCCAGAGTTCCCTGTGCTTTGCCTGGAAAGTTGATCTGAAGCTTCTGTTTGCCAGTGATTAAATGGTTTCCTGTGTTTCAGGTCACTAGGGCCTAATTAACTAAACTCTGGACAGGTTTAATTAATCTCGTCAGCAGACTTTAAAGCTTTCACAGGGAGGTTAAACACAGTGGGTTTGGTGCCGTGGGCTAAAAGTGGGAGATGAAATATCTGGTACAAATGTACTTTTAGGCAATATTGTTTTTTGTAGGATGAACTTTCTACAACCTAGACGTTGTGAACAGTGTTGTCCCTGATACTAATTACTACGATTCTTCCCCACTGTCTGCCATTGATCGGTTCATCCAGCTCAGCGTGTGACCGTTTGTCATAGCATTGAATTTGAGTCTGTTGTTTACAGTAAACTACAATATAATATGCTGTACATATATACAAATATGTATATATATGTTTGTATATATACATGTATATATGTGTATATGTGTATGTATGTCTGTATATATATAGATATATGTATATATGAGTATATATGTGTATATATGTATATGTGTGTATATATGTATATATATGTACTGTATATACATGTATATATGTGTGTGTGTATATATATGTATATATGTATATACATGTGTGTATATTTATTTTCTATTGGGGGTTGTCATTGGGTTGGGGGGATGTGAAGTTTTTAGTAGCAAACTACGCATTCTGAAAGCGCCCACCATTTTGCGATGTTTCGTTCGGATCTACTTTGTCGACCAAACACCTCATTGAGTGTTGATTGTTGGGATGAAAACTCTGCATCTCGAGGTGCAGTTTCTCTTCCCCAGCTGGGGGGGGGGGGGTTATGTTTTCGGTGGTCGGGCAAGTTTGTTGTGTTGAATTTTTTTTTTTATTGCTACCACCTTCAAACACATTTATCCTGCTGGCTCGTCCGTCTTGCTGCACTCTGTGTACGTATTCTAGCAACCCCACCCCGCAAAGAGTGGATGACTGACAAGAGGGTTCACTCCTGTGTTCACACAGACTGACTTGTTATCCAGCTAGTTTGGAGGCGAGAGACGAGAAAAACAAATGCATATGCACATGGCAATCTATCAAGACTGGCAGAGTTATTGACATCATTTTAATTTATCATGCGATAAATGTATTTATTGATCATCGTTCTATATGTGGTAGAAATGCATCACTCACAAGTCACAACAAAGATGTTTTTAGTAAAACAACCCTACTGGTGATAATGGTCATTACAGTCTGTTTTGAATCTCAGCTCCATTGTTCATCTCTAACAAGTGTTTATTTTCTCTTTTTTTTTTTGTTATTGTTTCTTTGTGACTTTCATTAGGATTTAGCTCATTAGCATTTCATCTCACTGCTTTCAAACTGCTGCCAAGAGATTCACAGTTAGCTTCAGTGATGTACAAATAATTAGATTCCATCCAGAATGACTCTCTCTGTGGCTCTGGTCCTGTCTGTTCTGTCTGTTGCTTTTTCATTTGTCCCTTCATTGACTGTTTATCTGTCAACATAAAAATCATAAAAGTAAAAAATATTGTTTTATGTTCGGCTGTGCAGTATTTCACCAAAGTATAAACACAGCTTGTATTCTCGTGTGAGTAAAAATACCCAAAGGCTGCTAAACTCTGCATTTTAGCCATATATATAGCCATATATATAGCCATATATAAGCCATATATATAAGCCATACATTTCCTAATAAAGTAGCACTTGCTTTTTAAAAGGGAGTTCCTTAGATTGTTACGTCCCACCATTGCACTTGCCACTTAGAATAAATAAATATCACCGTAATATATACATATATTTTACCTTAATATATGTATATATTTTATCTCATTAATTACAGTTTAGTTGGAATTAATTGCAATTATTTATCATGAATTGTGATTGTAATAAATCATGTTAGCGATCAATCGAGATGTATATAGTTGAGACATATATATGTGTATGTAGCTAAACATTTACTTCTGTGTGTTGCTGGAATGGAAAAAATAAGACATATTTCTTATGTGTGCTAAGAACATGTAAGTGATCTTCAGTGATGGCATCAATTTTTCTACATTTGCGTCCATCACCTCCTTAAATTGCCCCTTTTAATTTCAACAAAACGATCTGAACGCTGCTGCCGCCGAGAGCCGACGGTGTTTTATATTTCACTCACAGCCTCATAAATATTTGATGATGTTTTAAGTACAATTGTTACAGAGCTCAAGTTCAACACCACTCTCATTGATCTGTTGACTAAACAGAGGAGGACCTAATGGACAATTTGAGACGTCAAGGTCTCTTATCCTCTGTGTACTTCACCGAGAAAGCTGATAGCTGAGCTGCTGCTGCCATTAGTGGCCAAATCCTTCAGTCTGAGGTAGGAAGAGTCCAGGGAGGCATCAAAGATACCAGTAACATCTAAAAGGCTCTCAGACAAATGTCAAGATGTTTTAAAAGCTGCTTGATTTGAACACCTAATACGAACCTTTACAAGTTCAGTTTTTTTATAATTTTGTCAAACATGGAGGTGCATCACGTCTACTTAGATCTGATTTTTCAACCCTCAAAGTTAATAATTCTGAAATCACAGCAAACCTTTAATTTAAACCATGTCTAAATGGGGACCTGTTAAAAATATTGAAGCTTTGCTGAATGTTTTTAATGTGGCTCCCTGGAAAAACAACCGCAAATTAATTTTTCTCCTCAAGATATTTCAAAAACACCAAATATTAGGGTAAATTAAAACTGCTGTATTTTGAGGTTAAATCATTAGCATCTAAGTCAATAAACACATTTAGTTTTATTGTTTTAGTAAGACATGTGCCGTGTTTCTAGAATTTTTTTTTTTTAATCAAATGTAATATTCCACTAGGGCTCTTTGTTTTATCTCAAACCTCTCAAATAAAAAAAAAGCCCAAACAATTAAAATAATTGAGAAAAGTGGAGAAATGGGGGGAAAAAAGAGTTAACCAGGCTCCGGTTTTATCCTCACTTCTTTTCAGTCCGTCACATTTAGTGATGCTCGTCTGCCCAGTATGTCAGGATTAGACAGGTTGGCCTCAGCATCAGCGCACAGTCTCAGATGTTTCTGTCCTTCTTCTGTCCACCTTATATCATCTAGGTTTGAAGTTTGAGGCTTAAATACTTCAATATAACCAACGTCTACGTGAGAAAAACTCCAAGAATGTTGAAGAAAGATTCACAGAATTTAATGACGGTTTGACAAAGTCTTGTGCTGGAAATTTCTAGATTTAATCAAGTTATTTTCTACACTGGCAGAGTTACACCCACATTCTCTCTCTCTCTCTCTCGTTCTTCCTACTTCGAGTTCTACTTTGTGGCTGTTCCACCTACACAACACCGCCTCCACCAGTCTACCCTGAGTTTCACTCTGCAGAATTCTGTAATGTAATACTTAATTGAAGGTTGCATAATATAGGGTGTTACGGTGAAGCTTGAGACTTCCTGAGGGGTACCCCCCCCCCGGTCCCTCCGCTGTTGAAGGAATCAGGCAGAGCTGATGGGTATGTGATGCAATTAAAGGGGACATTTAATCAAGTAAAAGAACCTTTTTCTTTTTTTACTTGAAAAAAACCTGAAGTAAAAATGGACCTCCAGCCTCAGCATGTTGTGCTAAAAGTTATACTTCGTTGCATTGTATTTGGTGAATTACTTTTAGTTTAGTTTAATTTTCATTTAAATGTTTACAACTTATTGATTTATACCAGGGCTGTCAAACATACGGCCCGTGGGCCAAAACTGGTCCGCTAGGGGGTTTGATTTGGGCCACTTGATGCATTTTAAAAGTGGGGGAAAAAAAACACAAACTCAAACTTTTTTCAAATTATATTTCATTAAATATGAATATTTTCTATACTTTTAATTACTTGCGGGAAAAGAAGGGGGGGCATGGACTTATTGTTATTGTTATTTATAGGTAATTATGTTATGATTGGACTGGTCTGGCCCACTTGACATCTAAACCGGCTGTATGTGGCCCCTGAGGCTGAATGAGTTTGACACCACTGATTAAAATGGTTCACTGGCCTAAATATTATGAATCGAGTCCCTGTCTTCACTGCATGACATTGTACCGTAACTCAGTCTGTTACATGGTAACATATGTCACATGACCAAAGGTCATCATATCTCTAAAATAACCTGCCCCCCCCCAAGCCCTCACAGCTGCTCACTCTTTAGTACGATGTCAAAACGACATTTATTTTTTGATCTATGGGTTTATTTTAATCAAGACGCCCCCTGCAGTGCTTCAGAAGAACTCCACACATGGTTATCACGGTGTGAGTTTATTTAACCTGACAACAGTTCAATCTTTGTTCTATATTGCAGCAGGGATTCCTACATAATGGAACACACTCTGAAAGGTCTTGACACAGGATGTTAAATAACGTAAGAACAGAGTACAGTTTAGAAAACTAAAGTAGACACCCCTCGTTTAAATGTCACACACCTACACGTTCCCCCGACACGCGTTCACCTTTTCACACTGCACTTCATCAGCACTGAACCAGGCCTCTTTGTGAATCGTCTCAAAGTGCTCTACCTACACACACACACACATACAGTACACGAGCGCTCGCAGTGAAAGGAGCAATAACGAGATCCAGGCTCTACCTTTTGACGGCATGGAAATAACTATCATCAGTCTCATCCTCTCCCTTTATTCTGTCGCCGGTGCTTTGTGATTGGAAATAAAAGCCATTTGTAGCCATTTAGCACCATTTTATTTTTGTGTTATGTTCCACATCTGATGGTGTTAAAGTTCAGATTGAATTCTTAACTGATTTTTAGGGGATTCCTGAAGTGGCCTGGACTTTTCAGAAAGTCAAGAATTCACTGTATGTTTTTGTTTTTTTACTTCTTACCTCCTCACAAGTTTCATAAAATGTTCTTGCTATATGTATATACATATACACTGTATGTATATGTGTACATGTATATATCTATATATGTGTATCTATATATGTATGTATATATGTATGTATGTATATATGTATATGTTTATATATGTATATATGTATGTGTATATACATATGTATATGCATACATATGTTTATATATATATATATACATACATATATCTATGTATATACACATATTTATATATATATTTTTCTGTATTCTGTATGATTTCAATATATATTTCTCAAGCACAAACAGGGCGACAGCAGCGGCAGCAGCGGCAACATTTATTGGTCTCTTTTTATCAAGCTTAAGATGATTAAACCTGTTTCCACTCGGTGCATTTACCACTGTATTTAACTGTATTTCCATTCCACTTCTTACAAATCAATTTTTTTTGTTTTTTCTCAGATGTAGCTAATGGCAGCACAGGCTACAGGCCCCCTCCCAGGACCAAAGAGGTGGTGATAAATGGACAGACAGTCAAACTAAAGTACTGCTTCACCTGCAAGATTTTCAGACCCCCACGTGCCTCCCACTGCAGCCTGTGTGATAACTGTGTGGGTGAGTGTCAGTCACGTCCTCTGTATCAGGGCTAATGCATCAGGGCTTTTGTCGTCATCAACAGAGAATTGTTTGTGTCCACAGAAGTGTGTTTCACATCACAAACGGTCCAAATCCAAAACCATCGTCAGGCATTTCTGTAAAGATTTTCTTAGATTTCATACATGACAAAAATTTCTTCTTTTAAATTTTCTATCCTTACTCACAGATTTATTAACATTAAAGATATATGTGTTGTTTTGCCCATGAACTAAAATGTATTATTGTTATTATTATTATTATTTTTACAATTAAGGAGTAATTAAAGTTCTTAATGATGCCTAAAAATTGCTTGAATTTGAACATGAAAAAAATTGTACGAACCCTGAAAAAGACATTTGTCCTTAGTTCATCAGCACAATGATTTTTCATTGATTTTCTGTTAACAAAAAAATAATTTTTAAAATTCATTAAAAGAGAAAACAACTGATGACGTCAAGAAAAATGAATACATTTTAATCTTTTTTTTCTATCTGTGTGTGAGACTGTGCTGCTAATTTTACAGGAACTGTTCGTATGCTGCTGTTCAAGACAGGCTCAGTGGCCGCGTGGTCTTATGTAATAATAAACTTTGTCTCCGTCTTTCTCTTTGCAGAACGTTTCGACCACCACTGTCCCTGGGTGGGGAACTGTGTGGGGAGGAGGAACTACCGCTTCTTCTACATGTTCATCCTCTCCCTCTCCTTCCTCACCATCTTCATCTTCGCCTTTGTCATCACAAACATCATTTTACGTAAGTAGCGGGGGAGGAAAAGAGGACATGCGCTGTCAGGCAGGACATACACACACATGGACGTACAAAAACACACACTAACACACACTAACACACACATGCAAAAACACACACTAACACACACACACGACCACCGTCGGCAGGTTGTCAGTGTGTGTGTGTGTGTGTGTCGTGAGAAGCTCCAGCAGTCAGGCTTGTTAGAGACTGTTGGGCTCTGAGCCATGTGGACATGTGTTTACATAAACCACACATGAGTGATAGACAACTGGTGGCCGGCGGGCCAAAATTGACCAGCGGCTAGTAAAACCTGGCCGTCACGTTTTTTTTGGAAATAGATTTTTACACAAACACTTACTGTTATGGGACTATTATAAAAACAAACTCTGGTCTTTGATTTGATTAAAAAGCCTTTCTAGATGAGATACTTTTGGGTTGTTGTTTATATTATATATATATATTATATATGATAATATATAGAGCGATATTATTTCTATTATTATTTTAATTATTGTATATATATAAATAGCTTCTCATGAGTATTTTTTTTTCACGATTTTCTTCGTTACAGATACACCACTAATTAAATAGTATATATATATATATAGCTTTGCAAGTGTACTCCTGTCATCCAGCCTGTTTGCTAGCGAACAATATATCCGAGCCCGCAACATTTTTGGGCTTGTTTTCATTTATCGTGCGATTAACGTATTAATTACTTATCGTCCCAGGCCTGTATGTCTTATGTACAAAGTTGCCATTCTGCGTTCAGCCTTTAATGTTAATTTTTTTTTTTGCCTCTGTCATTGATTTGTTACACCTCAAACATTTCAAAAGTGAAGCGACGCTTTTAGCGAGCAATCTTAGCTGTGCTCGGTTCAATTCGTCGAAACCGTGTGTCGACGTTAATCTGATTAAAGGTTTCTGAGTCTTTGCGTCCTGGTGTCACATGGTGTGTTTGCATCTGCATATACGTTAGAAGGCTAACGGAAACACTGTCTCCTTTCACAGGTTCCCATAAAAATGGCTTTCTGGATGCTCTCAAAGACAGTCCTGCCAGATATCCTTTCTGTGTATTTGTGTTTAAGAAGCTTCGTCCGACCGTCTCTCCTCGTCTGTCTGTTAATGTCTGCTTCACTGTTCATCGACTTTGTTTTTGCCTGAGTTTGATGGTTTTAGTGATAACGCAGACTGTGTTTGGTCTGCAGCAGTCTGATTCAGGATTCTCCACGGGCCAGAAGTTCTCTGCCATCCATCGCCACTGTCACTTTCTGCAGTGTAACGGTTCTTGCGTGGTGTGTCTGATTAGTCCTGTTCCATGGAGCTCCTGCAGCAGCCTGCCCAAGCAGCTTGTCTGTCTCCCTCTCTCTCTCTCTCCCCCTCTCTGTCTCGCCCTATCTGTCAGTTGATTTAGTGGCTCTTTAATTTTGTCTGACTCTACAGAGATGTGTGAGGAGGAGTGGAGAGGATGTGAATGGCAAGTCTGCCCCACTGATAGATGTCAAGTGTCTGTGCGAGCTTCAGCTGCCACAAACACACTTACCCAGGACGGCTGTGCAAAACCAGTGTTGGGATGAAAGCCAACGTGTATTTTACATAAAATACATCATCACTATTCGCAGATATCCGATATGTCAGTGTTGTCCAAACAACTTAGTTTCTGATTCCGATATCGACCGATAGCAATGTATGCGGCCGTTTGCAGCACGACGTGTCCAGCGGTGTCATGATGACAATAATTCAAAACTATTTTTAGGTCACATCGTCTGGGCGAAACCCAGGCATTGCTTTATCGGATTTGCGTGAATTAAATTACGTAATTATGCTAATAGCCTCGTCCCTAATGGTTACTTCGGCTCCTATCTCGTTCCTGTCGGTGTCAGTTGTGGCCTTTTTCACAGACGTGTAGCACAAGCCCATTAACTTAACTGTGTTAATGGACTCGTGTCGTTACGATTCTTTTCATAGACTCAGTAACGTCCTCTTTTAAAGGCACTTCTGTGCTTGATGGACTCAGTACAGTACAGTACAGTACAGTATAGTATCGTACACCAGTTCTTCCATATTTGTGTTTGAGTGTCACTGTCACACCACATCAGTCCAGCAGGGGCAGCTGATCCCCAACATTAATGTCTCTTAGATGTTTTTTTTTATTCATCTGAAGTTCTCCTTCAGTTCAGAAATCCTCTGTTCTCTCTTCCATTTTTTTTTTTCCTGGCGCTGGTTTGTTTACTTCTTTTTTTTTTCTTCTTTTTTTTCCCAAAACTTCTCCGCACCCTTCTATTGCTGGAGGCTTCTTCAACACTGCTCGTCCTCCGTTTTTGACTCTAAAGTCAGACATTAGAGAAGGAGCTGCTGATGATTGGCGTTGATTTTAAACAACTCGTACCTTTGATATGCATAACGAGAGAATGAGAAGGAAATAAGTCACTGAAGAATTTTAAAAAAGCACAAAATTATTTCCCTCCTTCTCTTTGTTTCCCTCGTGCCTCAGTGAACTCTCTGTTCTTGGCAGAGAAACGTGAGCCAGACCAGGATGATTCTGGTTTTCCTACGTGACGTTAATGGGGGAGAATTTCAGTCCATTGTAGCGTAGCTTCGTTGGTACTGTGACAATGAGGCTGTGTCTTTTTGTTCCTGATAAAGGTATGAGGAAAAAAGGAAAGTAATAAGAGGGGGAGGCAGGAAGACTGTGTTTCTAAGGCTGACTCCGAAATACCTGATGATTTTATCGCTCATTGTAATAATGGTTAATAATAGAAGTTGTTGGTAATAATAATAATTATAGCTGTTTTACATATAACCATCCTGTTATCATATATGAGTAGTTATAAATACTTAGTTAAATACACAGAAGTGTTTTGGAAAAAAACTTCAGTCAAAATAAAAAAAATAAAGAAGTGCGATTTGATTTTGATTCAGTCAAAATAAAAAAAAATAAAGAAGTGCGATTTGATTGTTCAAAATTGACTTGACTTCTATTATGTCAAAAGTATTATCGCCACCTGCTGTTGAGAAATGTTAATAGACTTTTTCTCAACATTTTTTATTTTTTTTCCCTTGACAAAGACCGGTGACCCACTAAAAAATTAGTTCACAACCAAGTTTTGGGTCCCGACCCACCAGTTGAGAAACACCGGCTTAGAGCACACGTGTACTTGCACTCTGCGTGGACTCTAAAGTACACAGCGCTGCTGCTGCCCCAGTTCACTGCTCACTGACAAACTGTGAATGTGTGTGTGTGACCCTGAGGCTGTAGGTCACGGTGCTAGCTGTGGAAAACCCTTTGTGTGTCTGTCGTGCATTATTCCGTACAAGCTTTGTTACTGTGTGTTTCACAAGAGATAAGAATGTGTGACTTGACGTTGTCCTTGACTTTATGTCACCGTGCTGGAGGTGGTGGTGTGTTTCTTCTCCGTCTGGTCCATAGTGGGCCTCTCAGGCTTCCATACTTACCTGATCAGCTCCAACCAGACCACCAATGAGGATGTGAGTATAATCCTTCGATGACATCAGTATGTAAAGGATATCATCGCTATGTGTTCTTCCCTAGAAAATAATCATAATATTTACCACATTTGCAAAACTGCTGAAAAAATCTTTTTTTTTTTTCATTTTAATAATCCATCAGTTGGTAAGTCACAAATAAAAACAAACATCTGAAACATCCACATTTCTGTTCCAATGATATACGGCGGTGGTTCTCAAACTGTGGTACGCGTACCACCAGCGGTACCTGAGCGCTCTCTAGTGGTACGCGGGGAAAAATCATATTTTCACATTTACATTTTCAATTGAATAAATCTGAAACATCCCATGCACAATTAATACAACATTTAAAACATTTAGGAATGTTGACTTCATTTTTATCAATTAGTCGCAACTAATTACAATACGAAACTTTAATCGGTTGTCATGAATGTTGTAACCTGCTGCATCAGTAGGACTGACCCTCAGAGTAACTCATTTAGTTTGAAGTGTACCTTCAATTCTTCACTTACGTCCAGACGATTACGTCACCCCAGTCTGTGGAAACTTGAGATGTTTTTCTGTGACTGAAATCTTGACCGATGATTTTGTGTGGCGTCCTGTAGATAAAAGGTTCCTGGTCGTCTAAAAGAGGGAAGGACAACCACAATCCCTACAGCCACGGCAACATATTCACCAACTGTTGTGCGGCCCTGTGCGGACCTCTGCCACCAAGGTACGTTATATCAGTGTGAATGAGAATTTTTTTTTTTTTTTTAAACTGCCGGATGTGCACTTAATGACCAAACTGAGAGTGCTATTTTTGTTTTCCCGCCTGTTCTCAGAATCCCCTTCAGTCTTTTTTCCCAGTTTCTGTTACTGATTACAACATCTGCTGTTTACCACCAGGCTGCCATTTAAACCGTGTATTTTTTCTTTTAAACAAAAATAAAATTGTTTATGAAGACTGTTGAATGTGAGCAGCTCCTTAGAAACAAGTTTGCCAGCAGCCATCTTCTGAATACACAGCTACAGAAGTAGAGCAAGAGCCAAAAAGATTTTATGCCCATTTGAAGCAAATCCAAGATCAAAGTTGGCCATAAATTACATTTCACACTTTTAGCTCTTTATGTGATTGAACAGAGACACGGGCCAACACGCTGCTGCATATTCATGTCCATGTTACTGTAATTATTACATACATCCATGCTGGTCTCAGCTATTTTTTTTTATTATAAAGAAGTTATTCAGCAACCATCACCAACTGAAATGGTCTGTGTTTGTCATGAACCTAAATTGTTCTCTTCAATAACAAAATACAAAAAAAAAACATTTCTGTCCAGAAACACTGACATCACCATTGATCTGCGTTACATTTCTGTCTAGAAACACTGACATCACCATTGATCTGCTCTGATTAAAAGTCAAACTGGTCTGGTCTGATTGACCCGAACGTCACTGATATATTTAACAACAAAATATTATAAAAAAAAAAAAGAACTGGAAAGTGTTCCATTTTTTTTACAGGAACGTTACAGGAATGTTTATGTCTGTGGAACAAGTTCTTCCTACATTCTGTTTGAACACCCGAACGTCACTCAGGCTACGTGAGACCCTTTAATAGTAACGTTTTAGGAGCATACTGCCACCTACTGTACTAGAGTGTGTAGTGTCATGGTCTGACCAGTGACTTTTTGCGATAACGCAGCCAACTCCTCATGCCTTTATGCATGATTCATTTATTTTTTTTAACCAATGGGAATTGTCATGGATTTGTATCGATTTTCCACCGATTCACGATGTATCGCTACACCCCCCCCCTTGTCCTCTTTAAGGTCACAGAAATCTTCTGCTACGTATATAAGAGCTAGCCTTTCGTTTGTTGGTTATTTAGAAATATAAAGTTGAAATACGCGGCTTACTAAATGTGTCCAAAGATGCACACAGTCCTGGGGTGTGTGAGCAGAGCGATGGAGGCTTTCAGCAGATTGTGGTCAGTCACGTGGCCGGTCTGTGCTCTGGTCATCACAGGCCGTAAGTCACCAGTAATGACTCCGGTGGGTGGTAGAGGAGAGTTTTCACTGCACAGGTGGCCACCATCTGTGTGCGGTTAATGTGTTTGTGTGCGGATATGTGTTTGTGTGTGTGGGTGTGTATTCGAGTCCTGCCGCAGGCATCGCACAGCTGGATCTGCCAAAAACAAAGGGATATTTTATCCCCACCGCTGTGGCATTCACACACCGTACCTGACCGGAGTCCAACACCGCCACTGCGTCGAGCCCATACAGTATGTCCAAAAGTAGAAACCAATGACCGAGCCACCATAGGCCCTGCAATATTTTTTATATTTTTTTTTAAAGGCTTAATCGCGTTAAATACTTTGTGAAAATTCATCACATTTTTATTTCATAATTTTGACTAATTAAACCATGAGACTGAGAAAGCCCTCCTGAACATATCTGATATTTCCAAACATCTATCAACTTGCCATTGTTTTAACATCCAGTCCATAAACATGATGTTGTTATTTGCACACATTGTGGGGAAAAAATGTTTTTGTTTCACGAAGTGACTGGAGCTTAAAATACCACGTCGACCAGCCCCATGTGTTTGCGGAGGCCTCGACCTTTGTTCAGACGCCCAGCTGGTGGCAGAATGGCCTCATCAAGCACAAGGCAGTAATTCAGTCTACGACTGACACAATTAAAGAATCGCGAGGGACTGTTGCCCAATTAATATTGTTGAGGACGAGGGTTTAATTAAACTTTTTTTAAATTAACTTTCCACTTGTTCTTCAAACCACTCATGAGATGCACAGTAGTGACATAGATCTGTCCAGCTTTAGTTTTGTATATGTTTTTTGACATTTTTCTATATTATTATTTCCGTCCTTTGGATTAGTCACAAGTACAAACAGGTGTGAAACACAGACATTTACCTGCTGTTATTTCTCTTTCTGTTCCAGCAATATATAGAACAAAAGTTTTTTGTGAAATTTAGGAAATAATTAATCTAGATCTCGATCAGTGGTTCTCAAACTTTTTATACTCTGTACCACCTGAGAAAACCTTGACCTCTCTGAGTACCACCATGATGACCAACATCAGAATACAGCAGCGTAGGCCTTCACTGTTAGCTTCCACCACAGGAGAAATGTTTATAAAGATGTTTATGTTTAAATGTTGTATTAATTGAGCATGGGATGTTTCAGATTTATCCAATTGAAAATATGAATTTTCCCCGCGCACCACTAGGGAGCGTTCAAGTACCACAGTTTGAGAACTACTGATCTAGATTAATCTAAAATTAACCCTGAAACTAAGTCTAAATCCAACATCGTCTTACAACTGTTGAGGTTTATATACATATGTTGGAAAACGGGCCGAAACCTCTTCATATTTACAATTTTAAAGGCTCATCTGAGGGTCGAGCTGAAGCTAAAAAAGCAAAAAAAAAATCTTTATTTATGAAATTAACAAAGCTGTTAATTTTTCAGAGAATACCTTCTCCTCAGAATTCTGGAATTTTCAGAAATCTGACAGCTATTATTATAATTTAGGGATCCGTCTCCGAACTTTCTGACTTTCCCTGTGCTACCTACCATTCAGGTCATGTAAACATATTCTGTCCTGACTCACACGTTGCCTTTTTGTTTCCTCGGGTTCGTCAGACTTTGATTCCAGCAAACCTCCTCTAACAACCGAATGTCTGTTTACTTTGTCTGTGTTTCATCATCATCGTCTTTGCTGTGACTCACGCTCCGAAGAACTGCTGGACGGTACATTTCCTCAGCAAATTAAAAGTTATTTTTAATTATTGAAGACTAAAAAAAATAAAAATCATCATTTTAATGACGTGAGAAAAATGTCAGACATTTGAGAAAACCTTTGGCATGTTTATCGTTGGTTGTTTTCTAAGCAGTTGTGTTGAGAATTCTGTGGCGCTGTTGTTAGAAGAATAACAGTGATTCACTCCTCTGGCGCTGTTGGTAGAAGAATAACAGTGATTCACTCCTCTGCCCCACAGCAGGACCTCAGTCATTTATCACAGACGTGTGATTTTGGTGTTTGCGAAGGAGAGGGAGTCTGCGCTTGATGATTCTCCTGTATGGTCAAAACAATCAATCAATAACACACTCTTCCATCTTCAACCCGACCTTGCTGTAAACATTAGCCTGAGGTTCCATTCAGTGAAATGTGCGCGATGAAAAATCAATCAAGTCTCGGTTTTCATATTTTGCACAGAGACGTGTACCGTAACGCTATCAATATTTAATGAAACAAATCCAGGAACTCATTCATTCATTTATTAAGCCGCTGCACTGTTCCTGTTGCATTCTTCAAGGTGCAACCAATCAGGCGTGCTGCTGTTGTTGTTGACTGTAAACACAGAGTGGAAAAAAATGAAACACCTGCTCAAACTGGGATTTCTGTGTAAAAGACCTGGAAAAACAATGTGATTTTATGACAAACTACTGTTGGTCATCAAACATTTTTTTTTCAGAACAGTACCAGAACTTTATTCTACCCTAATTCAAATGCTGTTTTTGTGTAGTCATAGAGGGCTGTCTAAACTGAAGCGACCAAAGACTTATTTTTACATACTTTATAAATTCTTAGAAAAACAACATTTTTACCTTTTGTTTCTGTTTGGTGAAATTGGTTTCCGTTGGTTTAATTTGTGAATTAATGGCTGTGCATTTTTGTTTGTCTCGTTCTAGTCTCATTGACAGACGGGGCTTCATCCAATCAGACGCCCCTCAGCTGGCACCGCCAACCAATGGCATCACTACATATGGAGCCACGCAGTCGCAGCAGAGCCACATGGTAAGACTTTGACCTGACTGTGTCATGATTGGATTAAAATGGTGGTGTGATGGGATTTAAATACAAGCTGTTATTTACTTATCGTCATTGATCACATTTTTAGCAACGTTTCAAATTATATATATTCCGATTGACGACTGACTTTTTCATCAGTCTGTTGGATTTACACATTAGTGCAATTTCAGAGTTAAATTACAGCCATATGACATGAGTCTAAGGGCCACGCTGAGAAGAAGTAAAACAAAATGATGAGAGTAAAGTCAGAAATTTATGAGAATAAAGACGAAATGTTACAGGCAAAAAAAGTCATCATTTATATCATAATAAAATTTAAAAAAACACAGTGTTAACCATGAGGTCAGAATGACAAAAAAAACCAGAGAGTGTTAACCATGAGGTCAGAATGACAAACGTGGACCATCTGTGCAGTTAAACTTTAGTGTTGGGTTCAGAAATAAGGAGTTTACTTTGTCTTCTGACCCATTGCCATTAAAAAAAAACATCGTTGTAATCAAAGAAAGAGCCTTTACAGACTTGGGTGAAAATTGCACGAAATCGCAAACTTCTGTTACTTACCAAGATCGACAGCAACAAGATTTCTCGCTTGGGATGACATGTTTATACTTAAATTACGACTTTTTTAATTGTACGTGAATGACTTTTCTTTTTAAAATATTATGACATTTGTCTCGTGATGTTTCTACTTTAATATTATAATTATAAAAAAATCAAAAAGTCTTTACTTCTCAATGTGGCCCTAATACGCCGTCGTACAGCTCCTACATTCAACATCTTAACCAGTGTGGGCTGGCTGTGTTATTTACCTTTACCAGAGCTGAAGTAGCTAACCTTAACTCTTAGTAATGACTTATTGAGAAAAAAAACAAAAACAAAAAAAAAACTAGGCTGTCAAACGGTAAAACTGTATTTTTACTGCCAACAGGACTGTGATTAATCTGTCAGAATTAACACATCAACATCCCTGCCCTACTTGTTTTGGAAATGAATGAAACGGAAAATGAATGGAATGAATTAGTCATCGTGTGTTGTGTCTTATACTTTTCCTTGAAGACCGAGAGTCCGTGTTTGGTTTATTAGAAATTCATTCACACCTGCTCTCGTCTCATCTTCCTCGCTGAACTGTTTGCACAGACGTACTTTTGTTATACCTGCTTCGCCTTGTTAATCCACATACACACACACAGGCACACCTCATAGTTGAAGTGGCAACAGAGTGTATAATTATGTGTGTGTGTGTATGTTTTACTTGGACTCACTGTAGGGTTTCAAAGAACCTGACTGGGTAGGTTGGTTAACAAAAAAAAACCCGACAAACCCAAAAACACGCTTGCGTCGACAGTAAACAGCTGATATTTCTGTGGCTGTTGTGCTTCTCATTTCCTCGTCTCACCCAGACCTTAACGTGACGCCTGTAGGTCGAGGCCCAGGGCAGAATGACTCACTGTGACAGAGCGTCTTTCAGGCACTTTCTCAGAGTGAATCAGGCTTTTGTCTTTCTCAGAAACCCTGACAGATTGATGGTACTGGTTGTTTTTCCTTGGTCCACAGACATCATCTGTTTTGTTCGACATCTTTAATTTTGTATCTGCATGTTGCAGTCAGTGGGTGGTAAACGTTACTTTGTTAAAAGGTTGGACTTGACAACTAGACCAACAACTTAAAGTGTGTTCAAAACATCACAGTCAATCACCAAGGATAGATCCGGGCCAGTAGTTCCAGTTGGTTTTCTTGTGTTGTGTGTTCAGCTTTGAATCCTTCTATTGGAGGATGACAATGAGAGTAATTCTCTCTTTTTCTAAAGAGAGTTTATAAGATTATTAACTTACTTTGTTGCCGTGATCTTTTAGTGTTTCGGAGTCAAAAGAAGAGCTCATGAATGACTCCCAGTAATGGTGGAAGTGGAAGAATGAGGCGCTTAAATTGTACAATGGAGAAATGACAGTGGTGTGTAAACACCTATCGTCAGTGTTCGTCTGTTCCATGAGAGAAAACAGCCTCTGTGCTAACCTCACTGACGGTCCTTTCTCTACGAGGAACAAGTCTCCTGTTGTTTACATCACATATACACGACACTAGGGATGTCTGATAATATCGGCCGACCGATATTATTTCATGATATTAGCATAAGTATGTAATATTGGTAAGAATCGTTATCTTTTGTCAATAATAAAAACCCGATAACGCAATGCTTGGGTTTCGCCAAATGATGTGTGCTCTAAAAATAAAAATAGTTTTGGGGGAAAAAAGGCTGTATATGAAAGTAAAAGTCAATAGATGGCAGCATTGCGGCTCATTTTATTAATCTTAATAATTAATTTTAATAATCAGGGGACTGTTTGTACAGATAAACAAGTAAATATTACCAGGCCCTTAATAGTATTTCAATTTGGCGGGGGGTGAAAAAACTTCTGTCCCCTGGGCGTATTTCAATTTGGCAGGGGGTGAAAAAACTTCTGTCCCCTGGGATAATAATGGAGAAACACTGCTTTAACCCATCACCTTAGTGAGCCACCACTGCCCCACTATATCGGTATCGGTTCATATTGGAATCGGAAATTAAGTGTTTGGACAATAACTGCGTATCGACTATCGGACATCCCTAACATATACAGTAGGGTGTGTCCAACTACACATAACCTACACTGGTGCCTTCCCTCAGTGTCGAGGTCGTCACTGTGCTCTCCGTTCTCCATTGGCTCCGTCTTGTTTGTTGGTCACGTCTGTTTACAAGCCCTGAATGTGTGGACTGTTCTGTTGAGGCCAGCGTGACACATGAACATCCCTGAATTTAAGGCCACAGCCGTGTGTTTGTAGTGGCTGACCTTATCAGCAGGTCAAGTTCTGCCTCTGTTTTGTCTGTGTGTGGAGTGACTGTTTGGTGATTGTTTTTTTTTTCTCCAGCGACTCTCGTTGCTTTGCTTCACTTGAAACATGTGAAAACAGTGTTGTTTAAAAGTACGATGTTTGGGTTTTCTTTCGAGACCACAGGGTCTTAGGAGATGACTGGATGTCTGGTGGAGAAGTCTTTTTAAATTAGTCATTAGAGCTTGGTTAAATTTTGTTCTTCAGTTATTCCAATATGGACCAGATTTTTGTTTCCAATTGTTGTCTAAGAGAAATTTAACTAGAGTCATAAATGTGATTACTGATATTTATTTCAGTCTGAGTTGTTGTTTTATTAGTGTTTTTGGAGTCCAGTCACGGGCTGGATTAGACAGTTCTTTGGGCTGAATGTGTCCCGCAGGCCACCAGTTGAGAACCCCCGACGTAGATCAGAAAATGTAAAATCATTTTTCAAATGAACATAATAGCCTGTGAGTACTGTAGAATATACTGTATACTCAGTGACTCAGTGTGTATTCATAAATACATCGAGTTGAATTTTTTTTTTTATTATTATTATTGTAAAGACTTTGTTTAAGTTCAATTGGGGAAAAAAGCCTGGTTGGTAAAAACTCCGAGTTGTTGCCAGGGAAACAGGGTGATGTGATGTCACGTTTTCACCTCCATTTAGGATTTGATTGAAAAAGGGAAACCGTTTGCAAATTTAATAAGAGCAGTCATTATGTCATAAAATCATTTCACTGTAGTTAAAGGGCCGACACATCCGATCTGAGCAGAGCTAACGTTGAGGTTATCGTTTGTTTTCATTTTCTTTCTTCCTTCCTTCCTTCCTCACCTCATTTCTATCTCTTTCTCCTTTTGTGCAACTGCACACTATTTTTACCCCGTTCTCACACAAGCACACACACAGTTTTACACAGCTATACTTCTTAGGACTTTGCATTGACTTCAGATCTTGTGTACAGTGTACCCAGAATCTTACATCTAACTATAAATACTCAACACCGAAACTGAATAACACGCAGAATTACTTGCCCACGCTGCCTGATTTATGCCCTACTTTTAGAACCTGGACACCTTTAAAGTCGGGACTAATATCATGACTGTGAATTATGAAATACTGAACAGAAGTGTCATAAGATTATTGACATCAGGTATTGACCTGCATTGTCAAATCAGACTCCTATTGGACAGTTTGTGTTAATTTACGTTATCATCAGAGGCCAGTATTTCCTGAGCTTTTCATTAGAGAGATGCCACAGCGACTAAACATCTCACAAGTGTCACAGCAAGAATAAGTAATGAAATTAAATTATTTTCTAGTTTCAATTTACTCAAAATGTACTTGCTCAGTGTGAAACCTGGACCTGTTTTGTAGAACACAATGTTGATAGACTCACAGGAATTCAAGAAAGAAACACATAAAGAAGATTCTTAGTCTTAGTAAGTGTATTTAATAGTTCTGCCTGTCACCTGGACAAATACCTATTACCGGCACAAAGTATTTTTTAGATAATTCTGATAATTGGGATAAAATAAAATAACACAAAAAAAGCTACAAACAGTAAAAAGAAGGAAAAACAGAGAGACGAAGAGCTGTGTCTTTCCTCAGTTCCTGCGTATATCGAAGTTGTGTTCAACTAAAGAGGCTTAGGTGTCACACTGAGAAGAGTAAAACTAGAAGAGCATTATATTTTTAAATTTAGTGACATTTTGTTTGGTGCTGGGTTGTGGTATTTCTCCGTTTTGTTTTGTTTGTTTTTTTCTCCGTTTGAAAACGTGTGCCGTGGCTCAATAAAAAGGTTGGGGAAAAACCGGGTCAAATTCGGGATAAGGCTAGTTCAGGCTAAGGTCATTCCCATAAAGAATGATAAGATGCTACTGCAGCCAGTCACAGGGCTGATAACACGTGGAGTCTCATCTCAACCACTGTCAAAGGTAGCTGTACCTGTGTTTCAATCACTTCTGTAATCTGCTCTCTTTAGGTCAGTGAGATTGAGAATGAAAGGTGAGCGGCCCAGGAATTAAAAAATCTCTGCACTTTTAAATCTTGGTTCTTCAGACTTTGGGAGCCGGTGTAGAAGACTGACTTTTTACTTCCTGTTTACTCATACATAAACACATGGTGACTGGTGTGGTGATAAAGGGTTAACAGGGTTGGGGCTCATGTCCCACTGGGCCTAATGTGTGGTATTGACTCTTTGCTTCCTAACCCAGTTACTCTGCTCCACTTTCACATGTGTACTCTTCGTGCGGTCATGATCACGAGGTCATGAAGCAGTGACTCCATGGCTCCAGGTGTTTCCACTGACACATGGAGCAGGTTCTCTGTTCTTCCTCCATCTAAGAGGGTTACTAACACCATGTTCTCTTCTTCTCTCCTTTATCCAATCATCCCTCTCCTCATTGTTGTCTGTCCTCGTTCCTCGTCTCCTTGAACCCATGTTTTTTTTTTTTGTTTTTTTTTTTTCTCGTCCTTGTTTTAATTTTCAACCCTTACTCATTTCTATTTCTATTTCTATCCTTCACCGTCCACTGCCTTATCTGTCCGTTTGGCTGTCACTTCCTTTTCCCATGTTGTTCTCTCTCCTGCTTCCTGCTGCTGTCTCTTAGTGTGACCAAGACCAGTGCATTCAGAGCACCAAATTCGTTTTGCAGGCCGCCACCACCCCTCTCCTCCAGCAGCAAAGCAGCGAGCCAGTTATCCTGACGGCCTCGCCGGAGAACGTGGCCCCGCTCCCCGCCCGCACCTCCCTCAGCTTGGCCGGCCCGTGCACCTCGCTCCCCCTCGGACAGCCCACGCCGCCGACCTCCACCCCCAGCCTGAGCTGCCACGAGGCCACCGACATGTTGCCAATCCACGGCCACGGCCACACGCACAACCACAGCCATCCCTACCAGGAGCCGGTGGCCCACCATCATTATCTCACTCCAGAGGAAGTGCCCTCGCCCCCGGGGATGCTCCCATGTGGCAGCCCACTGGGCCACAGCCACACCATGCAGGCGGGCTTCTACAACCCAGCCAGCCAAGACTCACTACATGAAGACTCAGTCAGAGGGTTGGTAAAACTCAGCTCTGTCTGACAGGGGAGCGAAACCAACCCTCCGCCGCCTGAAGTCTTCTGTGCCACTTCTGAACTACCTTCTCCCTCCAGACGTCGTCCTCAGCGGGGGAGGGGGGACTTGAGAACTGAAAACAGGCAGTGGTTTTTAAACTCAGCTGCTAATAAACCGAGGCATATATAAAAAGAACTTCAGTGAAACCCGTTTCCTTCAGCCGTTGTCTTGCCAAACCTCTGAGCTGACAGCGGGAGATGATTCTTAGAGCTCAGACACATGCTCCTCTCCCCCTCCCCGTCTCCCCCTTCCCATCTCCTTGCATTTTTTTTTTTTTCAACTTCAAAGGCAGAACTTTCTCCTCCATCCTCTTGGTGACTGGTCAACTGATCTCCCTCCAAAGTGAGGGGGGTTCCTGTCAGAGGACCACGGTCGGACAGATTGGCCTTTTGCTGATTGGACGGCGTCTTCTGCCCCCCCCCCTGCCCCCACAAACATTCTCAGCAGTGCAAAGCTCCAGTTTCATATCACTGTTTTTATGCTGTTAAAAACTCTAAAAAAAAAGAGAGAGAGAGAGAGAGAGAGAGAGACGTTGTTACCGTATGATGGTTATTACAACTCCTGCCAATTATATTTCCTGTGGATATTAATAAAAACAACTTTTTAACAGATAAGCCTCAGGTTTGTAAAATTAGGGAGTGACGGTCATGTGGTGTCAACTTTTTTTTTCTTTTTTTAAGTTCATCATATGACCAATGCCTGCAGTTATTTTGCGTTTAGATTTTAAAATTAGCCCCTTAGATGTTCAGGCCGTTTTTATGTTCATTTATTTTACTGCAGGACTTAATTTTTTTCAGTTTCTCAAACGTCCTTAAAATACAACTATACTATACTAACTATACATAGCAGTGTGTAGCTAGCTAGCTTGTTTCTGTTTGTTTAACGACAAATTCATGCCTACAGAACATTGAAAAAAAAAGTTGTCACAGGGACAACAGCAGGACTCCTACAAGCGGGAAACACCAGCGGTCATCGGCTAATCTCTGGAATTGGAACGTGATTTAAACTGGAATACATCCGATCAGGAAATGGAAAAAAAGGATCATTTTGCCTTAAGGTAAGAACACTAACTCACTGACACCGCCTTGTGGCAGAGTACGCCAAGTGTAGCTCTCCAGTAAATGTCTGGTTTCTTATGAGATCACAGTAATATTTATGAGATAATATAAACAATTATAATGTAACGATGATAAATATTAATTTTTTTTAGACTGAAAGACGACATGCTGGTAACTGTGAAAGAAACACGGACAATTCGTTTCGTAATTCTCAAACATTTTTAATTTTTCGAAGCAGCAGAAACACTGACGTTAAAATATGCATGAATTGAATGGGCTCTTGATCTTACGACGGAGTATTTAGGCCACGGATAAAGCGGTAATTTGGAGAATTAAGTCGTAACGTTGTAAACATTTTCAGTTTCTCGCTCGGCCTTTTCAACGTCAAGACGCTTTTGGCGGCATTCGTGAAACCGAGTGCAAATCATAACGATACAAGACAAACCGTGTTTTTACATGAAACAGGAGTGGTTCACGTCGGACGCTCTTATCTTCTCAGACTTGATTCTTGGTAATGTCCAACTAAATTACGACTTTTTTCTCGCTATTTTCCAACTTAATTGCGATTAAAAAAATGTATTTTTTCATTCTCGTGAACGTTCAACAGTGTTTCTGACTATTTTGATACCTTTACAACGGGTAAACTTGTTTTCTCGTAATACTTTAGTGTCACAATGTTCACATCAACTTAAGACACTATTCTTGTAACATATGTTGATGTTGTGAATTTACGACGCTTTCCCTTTAATTTATAACGATTTTGATACATTTACAAGTTTAATTTTGTGAATTTTATTCGTTATTCTTTTTTTAATATTCTCAGAAATATCTGACTCCCATCTCATAAGCAAGACTTTTATCTTGTTAATCTCTTTAATTGCATACATTTTAACCACACCTTGATAAAAATTTGACTTCATTTATTTATTATTCTGGTTTCACTCACACACTTGCAACTTCATTCAGGCCATTTTCTTGTCCTGATTGTCGCCTTAATACTCCGTGGTATTATCCTTCATTTCGTTTGCAACATTTAAATTGTTTGTTTTTTAAACTGACCTGCGCTGTGCTATGGTTCTGCTGTAGGACACACCTTTAATTTATATAAGCACACGAGAAGCTGACGGTTTCTTTTCTTTTTTTTTTAAGAATCCTGAGGAAAAATAACTAAAATCATTTCTAAAGACAACTCTTGTGTCACACTCACACCCCTGTAGCTGAAGTAGCTGTTAGAGGAATATGTCTTTTTTTGCTTTTTGTTTTTTTCTACAAAAAACGTGGATCCATGACTTCTCTTACTGTCGTGACATTTTGACACAGCCCGTCTGAAGTGCTTCTTTATCATTCGTGTTTGAATAATGCTGTACGTTACAGTAGAGATGGATCAAACTGATGTGACTGAACCAATGCAAACCACACTTAAAGCTGTGAACAGTCACCGCCTGGCGTTCCCTACAAAACTAAGGCTCATGCATCGGTCTTCTAGTCTCAAACGGATCTTGGATCTCGTCTTGAAGTTTGTTGATCTTAGCTTTTTGGGGGAGTTTTGTTGTTGTTTTTTTTTTTTTTTTGTTTTTTTTTAAGATTAGCGACCAGCGCTCTTCGTACATTCTCAGGGGCCCGGAAACAGAATGCAACTGTTAGCGCCGTTCCCGCGTCGGTCCACTGTCCAGAGTCACCACACCTTAACGTCGGTGAGCTCCACGTCGCCCATGACCTCCAGCTGGTTGATGCTGCTCAGATCCTGCACACGGTGCCTGAACTCGAACAGGTGCGAGCCGTTCACTGCCAGCTTGAACTGATGCGGCTGACAGAGGATGAGAATCTGACACAAGAAGGAAAGCAGAAGCACAAACAGTCAATGAAAAAAAGTAAATTACACAAGTTGAATCTGTTGACATGAAGAGAAGAAAAGTTTCGCAGAATAAACAAATCTTAACAACAAAAAACAAAAACTTCGAACCTATGGCTCACGAGCCAGATGTGACTCTTTCGATGACATTGATTTTTGTAATGAAACATTACAGAAATCATAGTCTTTAAAGAAAGACTTTGATGATCTTTAAAAAAACACTCACACACAGGTCTAACGCTTAAAAAATAATAAAATAACAGTACAGTTAATGATAAAATTAAAATAATCAAATAAATTCAGGACAGACCTCCTAATTGACAAACCACTCTAACCCGCAGGGGTGTTGCATTTAAAGACCGTATGATAAATTAGGGTTTTTCTTATGTGGTGCGCAATAAACTGTCTTGTACAGCAGGTGAAACCATATATTTATAACTCCGTTACACATTTTAATTCATACATTTTTTTTTTTTTGCACTGGAGCCAATTGCATCAAAACCATGCAGCACCAGAAGTCGCATTAATGGTAAGAAGTATTTTATGTATTGGATGGTTTCAGTAAAACAGGGATATCAAATAAAAATAAAAATTTAGAGACTTATTATACTCTAAACTACTCTGAAAATGAGGGGCTTCCTGTCGAATATGACACGCTGGACATAAATGAACCACTGCTGCAATGGTTGAATGACAACAAGCCTCCAGTCACTAGGTGGCAGCAACTCATACAGAGGTTTGTACAGATAAAGAGAACCACTGGTGTAAGGCAACAGCAATACATAAACCATAGAAAAGTTAAAAAAAATGAATGAATAAATCCCTCAGTTGTTTTGTTTTTTTTTTTTCATACCTCAAAGTATTCCCCGGGGGAGAAAGGAAAGAAGGGCAGCTCCCGCTCCTCCTCACCCCAGGTGCCGCTCAGGTAGGAGTTTCTGATGAATACGCCCGACTTCATGCGTGGACTGAGATGAAGGGCGATGTTCTCCGTCCGGTTGTTGCAGATGTTCACCGAGAAGCTGAAGAAGGACAAGAGGTAAATGTAGTCCTGACCACTGGTCACTGGTGTTTGACAACCATGTGGGTCTTGTTCAAAGGGATTCACCTGTGGGGGTACATGCTGACCTGTCCTTTGATGGTGATGTGCAGTCCTGGCCTCAGTCCTTCCAGGATACTGCCTCTGTAAGGGAGGCTCTGAAATGACAGCACGGCACTGTGGACGCTAATGATATTGAACTTTCACTCTGTGGCCACAAGATGGCGACATTTTCTTTAACCTGACTCAAAATATTTGCGATATTCTGAACGATGCCTTTATATACTGTATATATGGCACAAAAAGGGAATAATTTTATATACACAAATATATATACATATATTTATTTGTTTATTAATTATTCCCTTTTTGTGCCACAGAAACATACTGATTTTGAAAGTCTTTCAGCTACTCATCTTTGAATGAGCACAAACCAGACAACCCGCCCTCTTAGACTGCTCCCTGATCAATGAAAAGGTTTTTTTCAGTATCACCTACTTTTTCCCGATGAAAAACACTTTTGTAATAAAAATACGCCAAGTGCAACTGTAAAAACAGTTGCAAAATGAATGAAATGTGAATGTGAAAAGTACAATGTTTTCTGCCAGCGAAGACATTAAGTGGCTTAGACGCCTGTCAGTCATGTGGTTGCCAAGACAATGGTTTGGTCAGAGGATGCTGGGCAGGTCGTTCTGCCTCTGTGTACTCCTGTCTGATCAAATCTCGACTCAAAAGTCTTTGTGAGTATCGTCATTTTTGTGCCGAGGGACGCTACAATACTTGTGACTGATTATGTTTTTTTGAATATGGGTCAAATTCACCGTCTGTAAATTATTGGTGTCAATTTCCCACGGCAGTGCACAACAACTGTCCTTCAAAATCCAGACACAGACATAAACTGTTTACAACCCACAGACCAGGCATCGTTCAGAAAACGTGACATACTTTTAACAACGTCACAAGATACCGGTCAGATTTAGAAGAAGCCTAATGGAGATGACCAGGAAGGAAGGACTCACCAAGTCACCTGATTCTGAATATATTGCCTGGTGGAGAAAAAAAAGGGCACATTCAGAAAAACACAAATCTGTATTTAAAAACATTTTTACAAAAAACCACATGCAGTTTATCAGGCAACTGTGCTACAAAACGTACTTACTGAGTTTGGAATGTATCCAATTGCGTGCACCCTGACGTTTCCCGAAATAGAAAATGTGTCGACCCTGTTCAGTGGCATTCTGTGCTTGTAGTCCAGCAGGTGAGCGCCATTGACTGCCACCTACAGGTGAGGGCATGTTGAACATTTGTGTGCTAACTTCCCATTCATTTTTTTTATTTTTTTATCCCTTACAGTTTCACTGACCTTAAAGACGTCCTCCTGCACCAGGATGAGCATCTCAAATGGAGCTCCACATTTGTAGGGCAGCTGATGGAGCGTCTCCTCCTCACCCCAGCTCTCCTGTAGCAGGGAGTTGCACATCACACAGGGTGAGCCTTTGAACCGAGGGCTGAAGTGCAGGGCGACATCTGAAGGTGGCTTGGTGCTGCAGCCGCTCGACAGGTCAATCTGAAACCTGAGGTAATATCAGAGTTAATGCAGAGGGCTCAGCTTGATCATAATTATTATAGAAATACATGGTTGCTATTCTCCTTCATTAGAGAAAAACAACAAACTAAATATATAGACAACACAAAATACCGTATTTTCTGGACTATAAGTCGCACCAGCCAAAAGAAATGCATAACGAAGAAAAAGTGCGACACACAGGAGTAGCACATAATGGTACACAACACCGGAGTGCCCTCTAGTGGCTGTTAGTGTGAAAATAACAAACGTGAAATTATATATTTTAATATATAAGTTGCACCTGAGTATAAGTCACAAACCCAGGCAAAGGATGAAAAAAAGTGCGTCTTAAAGTCCAGAAAATACGGTGGGTTATAATCACTTAAGTAAAAAACTCCAATCAGTTAAACACAACCAGTATATACCAAACAAAAGGCTAAAGGTTAGCCAAAAGGTGTTAAAGACGAACCAAAATATCAGCAAAAATTGTCCCACATATAGTTTACCTTTAATTACGAATTGAAAAAAAATTACATACAGTCCAAGATAGTTAAAGTTAACTAATAGCTGATAGACAAATAACTAAAAGCCAGTCCAATATTTTGCAAGAAAGATAAAAGAAAAAGGTAAGTATTAACACAACTATTGCTAAATTTGATCCAAAACACAATAGTATTTGCTGACATGGCTTGAAATAAATCAATATTAGAAATATTTGAACTTATATATATATATACATATATGTGTGTGTGTGTATAAAGTAATAGCTAATAGAGTTTTAAGATTACGTTGAAATAAATAAATCTTATCGATAGCAAGAACATGTTTACGATATATTTAAAGTTCCAGATTCCAATTTGGAATCTTTATTGATCCAGTTATTCGTTTAAAAAATGTGTTCAACAGCATTTGACAAAACTTCTCTGAAAATGAAGAAAATCACCCAAAACACACAGATAAAACCTATAGAGTCGACACTTGAACGGCTTTGTTTCCTGTTCCCTGTCTGTTCAGTCTAACGGTCGTCGGAGCAGAGTTACCTGTCAGCATCTGGGCTGACGGTGCCCTGGATGAGGACGATCTCTCCAGGATGCAGACCTGCAGGTATGGGCCCTGTGTATGGGATCACCTGGGGCGGAGAACAACAAACAACTGTTAGCACTCGTCTCCGCCAACTAGCTGACCGTGAGACAGACAATATTCTCACCGGGTTTAGAACAGTGTGTTTAGCATTAGCCACAGGCATCGAGCTCCTTCTGTGTAAATCTAACACACACGGCTGTGCAGGAAGACGGCGGAGTGTTTACAGCTCTCTGCTACACTAGGAGCAAAATGGCAGCGGACATCTTCCGCTGTCGCGTGCCGCGCATGCGCAGTTACCTCCAACGCTTTAAACTTGTGAAAAGCTTAAAGGACAAAAATCTTTTTTAGTCCTGAACAGTCAAGTTTTGAATAAATCACAATATTAATACGTTTATAAGGATAAAGACACACATATGTCAAAATAAAAAGATGAAGGTTTAAAAAAATGACAATATCTTAGACCTCGTCAATATTATAGAAATTGTAAGTCAATCAAAGTTGATAAAACGACTTAAAATAGGTATGAAATATAGTGTTGAGGTGTTTTTAAAAAAATTTCAAGTTACTAAATATGACTAATAATCTCAGAAACAGGTGAAATCTCAGAATAAGCTACAAATTAGTTGCATAATAACTACGTCTCTAAATAAAAACATAACATAAAAAGTAATTCAAATAATTACTAAAACATTGCAATAGCTCTCCTCTAAAAAATATATAAAAGAAATAAAAGAAATTGGACAAAAACACCTAAGACGTGTGAGAGAGTAGATGATGTCATGTTCTATTACAATAGAGGGATTACGAGGTGTTCCCAAAAGTGCCTTTAGGGGGCAGAGTTGGACCAGCTACAGACCTCGGAATGAGTCGGCTAATGTTTTAAAATAATGTTCAAGCACAACCACGGAAGATTATTCAACCACAAACCTGTTTTAGGAGTTACTTCACGTGTCCGGAAAATAATTAAAATAGTTCATTAAAAAAAAAAAAGTAACTGATTTAAGTTTCGTTTCTGCAGAACCGAGACTCCGTGACGTATAAAAGCTTCAGCTCCGTTCAGGTTCTGTTCAAATACAGAACGATGGGTTTGCGTGAGTACAGTCGACAGAACAGATGTCGTTTTAATGACATTAAAAGACCCTGGTTACTATAATAAGTATTTGACAGTACCTTTCACTAACTCTGTGCATGTTTTTGTTTCAGTTACTGGTCTCGCTCTCGGTGCGGTCGGAGCAGGTAAGGAAACGTGTCGTGAATCTGCTGTTTTTGTGTCGTTGTTGTTTTTGTTTGTTTGTTTGTTGCCAATGCGGTTTTTTTTATATTTTCTACAGTAACTTTATCAGATTTATTTTTAAAGGGACGGGGGTGGATTCCATTATATAAATAATTTACATTCCATTATACAAACGTAAATACAGCATAAAATGAAACGTTAATCTTGTCTTTCATGTCGGTTTAACATTGGGATAAAACTCAATTCAGAGTAGGCCAGAATCGATAACACATTTTGCTGGACGATATATTGTCCAATAAACGCTGATAATATTAATATTAACGATAATATTGTCAACAAGATTTTGAGAATTAACCACTAACGTAATGACGACAATAGAGCATATATAACATTGAACCACCCCCTTTCAAATACAGTCAATTTTTATTTTTAGTTTGTTGTTGTTTTTTTGTTTTTTTGTTTTTTTTTTTTTTGCTGCTTCCATTTTCAAACAATTTCATCATACTGGCTCGTTGCTGCACTCTGTGCTTCTCGGGTCCGATATTATCGGACATCCCTGAAGTAAATATATAAATACATTTCAAACGAATTGACGAGACACCATCGATGTTGACGCTCTGTATTCTGAATCCGTGACGGTCTGTTCTCACGGGACGTTTAAACTCCCCAGACTTGTCGACTTTACACGGAGGCGATCACTCGTTAGGTGAGACAGTCTGTCTGAATTTCTTTCCTCGTCTGCATTTAGGTGGCGCTGTGGTCGCAGCCCCAGTTGTTCTGGGAGCCATAGGGTTCGGTACAGTTGGAGCTGCAGCCTGGATGTCATCTGCTGCCATCGCCAGTGGGGGCGGAATAGTCTCTGGAAGTGTAGTGTCTGTGCTGACGTCACTCGGTAAAGTTGGGAGTTCTCTCTGGCGATTGTAGCTGTTTTCTCAGTCAGACTCTTATCATGTGACCTGTGTCTCTCAGGAATGGGCGGCCTGGGCACAGCTGCCACCGCAGGAGTGGCGGGGGCGGGGGGGGGCG